AAAGATGTGTTGGATTTGTATTATTAGAGCTTTCCGACTTGAGTTCACGTGCGTTTTCTCAGTCGGGAAATTATTTTTCACGTGCGGTGCCGATGATGATGCTTCTTGCGTCTGTTACGGAGAACCAGAGGGCAAATATTTCAATCGAAATTGAAATTTCAGGCATGGCACCGAAATGAGGCACCGAAATCTGCATTCTGATACGGTTCTAGTACATACCGGTTACATAGGTACCGGTGCCATATTGGTACCGGGTTTCGGTACCCAACCCTAGTTATCAAGGGATAACACACCTCAGAATGTCACAACTGACCAATCAGAATCAAGTATTCCACAGAGACGTGTAATAATACAATTTAAAATAGCTGTTTTCTGTTTGAATATAATGTAAAATGTAATTTATTCCTGTGATCAAAGCTGAACTTTTCAGCATCATTACTGCAGTCTTCAGTGTCACATGATCCTTCAGAAATCATTCTAATATGCTGATTTGCATAGTAAATGAAAAACGGCATTGTTGGCATGAGAATGCAACTTTAATTTGTAATTTTTTTTTAAACATATTGTGTCCACTCTGTTTGACAGTATCTGGAGGGGCCCGAATGTGAACTGTGTGGACAGCACTGGATACACACCTCTACACCACGCTGCTTTAAATGGACACAGGTGAGTCCTGTCACCTGATGACCTTTGACCTTAAGGATATTTTAGGAGTTATTTTTTAAGGAATATATTTCCTTAAAATATATTTGTTTATGTATCCGAGATGTTTATGTATCTCTCTCTCTTTCTCAGTGAGGTAGTGGAAGTACTTCTGAGGAACGAGGCTCTGACGAACATCGCTGATAACAAGGGCTGTTACCCTCTGCACCTGGCGGCGTGGAAGGGAGACCAACGAATCGTCAAACTCCTCATCCATCAGGGTCCATCTCACCCCAAACTCAATGAACAGGTCTGACCACCCGACACCGAGAAGCCTTCACCTCAGATTTAAAGGCATTTACTGTTCTGATGTTATTCACATTTATTTTGTGCTACGACTAGGAGTAAAGAGGAGGAGATGATCTTCCAAACTGAGGGGCGAGTCAGAATAAATACTGTCCGTAGACCTTAGGTTGTGCTGTAAATATGCACCTTTTTAACAGCACACTCTCTGAGATCATTAGTATTGGGGGTTGTTGACTGTGTAAATTCAGTAGTTTCAAGGATAGCCTTTTTTTGACACGCCTCAGGAATAGCTGCAGTTTATCAGGAAGACTGTCGCTTCCTCCTACAGCCTCTTCACACTGCTCTCATTTACACTTTGAGTGTGTGTCAGTATAAAGCTAAACATGAGTTCAGTGACATCTCACCCTTAATACAAGCAGCTTTCATTTACAACTACTATTTTTACTCGTAACACATCTGGGTGAATTTCAAATCGTTTTTTTCTGATGTAAAGTTGAAGATGACGTTTTAATTTGTTTGCATCACCTGATAAAGTTTGAATCAATACAATGTCTGTGAACTTTTGGACACTAGAGTTGAAGATTAACCAAATTCAGGTGCAAAATCAGTAACTACCAGTACCTGAATCTAAACATTGATATTTCCATTGTGACAATTTTCAATGCAAATTTTGATGTTTTTTTTTTTTCACGTGATGATTTGACATCACATGCTAAAGTAAAAATACAGGTTGTGTGACAGCAGTGTAATGCACTGTTTGAAATGTTTATAGTACTGTCATGCATATTGTTTTTTTATATAGTATAGTAAGTATTCCTTGCGGGGAAAAAAAATGTATGCTTAAAGCGATAGTTCACCCAAAAAAATTTAATTCTGTCATTTAATCACCCTCAAGTTGTTTCAAACCTGAACGAGTTTATTTCTTCTGCTGAGCACAAAAGAAGATATTTAGAAGAATATTGGTAACCAAACAGGTGCTGGTAGCCATTGACTTCCACAGTATGGAAAAAATGCTATGAAATCAATGGCTACCAGCACCTGTTTGGTTACCAACAAGACCTGCTAGTGTTTAATGCTGTTATGTTTTGACATTTAAAAGGATTTCTGTTATGTTGAAGTTTTTGTGGTTGCTATTGTGCTGAAGAGTAGAATACATGTAGGTAAACACTACATTAAATATATGAGCAGTAACTGTGCTAATGCCAGTGCCAAGTAACATATTACATGTTCATTAAATTTGCATGCATAATACATGCACAACAAATAAGTTATATTTAGCATGTCCTATCCTAGCTTTAAATTACGTTTATGCTACAAATTAAGTTACTCTAAATTGTAAATGTAGTTTGCAGGTTAAACAGTTTCATAATGAAGTTGTCATAACTCGCAGGCAGTCATTTATTTATTGAGCTAACACATTACACATTTGTAGAATAATGTGTAGAATTGTGAAATTACATATAAAGATGTACTTTATATGTCCTACTTAAGTGGGTCAAAAAAGAGCTCTTAAAGGGATAGTTCATCCAAAAATGAAAATAATGATTTGCTCACCCTCAAGCCATCCTAGGTGTATATGACATTCTTCTTTCAGACGAATACAATCGGAGTTATATTAAAAAATGTCCAGACTAATCCATGCTTTATAATGGGAGTGAGAATATGCTAGTCTCGCGAGAAACAAGTTTTGTTTACAGCAAAGGAAAACCAGTGTCCTCTTGGCTTATATCGAAATCCTCTGACATTTTCTTTACAAATCCTCGTTTTGTACTACTAATTCGTGACCGGTGTTTTGTTTCGCTCTCTCCTCTGCGCTTCCGTGTTCATCACCGCATTTGCCTACGTCTTACATCATCCGCTGGACGCCACTCTCTGGTGAACGTGCGTACAACAGTTAGCGGAAGCCAGAGATTA